GTGTGTGTGTATGTGTGTATGTGTGTGTGTGTGTGTGTGTGTGTGTGTGTGTGTGTGTGTGTGTGTGTGTGTGTGTGTGTGTGTGTGCGTTTCGCAGTTCGCAGCTTCATCTTGATCAATGAGCACCGAACAATGGGTGGTCTGGGTTGCAGGCCCCGTCTGTGTGTGATGCTAATAAGTATGCTAAACTGGCCAAGTGGTCATCTCAGGTTGTGAGCTCCCTGGCTCTGCAGGACACCCCCAGACAAAGTAGAACTTGGGATATGATAAGTGGGTCGAGGAGTGAGTGCAAAACAGTACAACAGGTCTTTGTTAAAATGTAAATAGGCTGTCTGGTTACTTGGAGATGCAGACATCCTGTCTCTACAGCATAAAGTCCCACTGTTACACTCAGCACAACACAGCAGTCATCAATACAGTTTTATATGTATAAGCAAGGAAAATAAAGGTATGAAAAATAACTAAAATAAAATGAAGAACTGAAAAGTAACTAAAGGGAACTAGAGTTATGAAAAGTAACTAAAGGTATGAGAAGTAACTAAAGCTTATAAAGTAACTAGAGCCTATAAGAATCAAATCTTACACTCTTACAACCATTGCTCTATACTCCCCATCACATTTAGCCAACCAGACAGACAGGGTTTAAAATCGTCCTATGCCTCACTCATTTGCTTCTGTTGTCATTCCTGACTGCTGCTGATCTAGATTAGGAGTTTTTTTCAAGGATTGAAGTGAATACCTAGTCAATTCATGTGCTTCTAATGAAGGCATTTTTAGATTTTAGATCATTCACCCGTTTATTGTTATGGGGAAATTTCAAGTCACATGGTACTATAGTTACCAACTATCTCTGTATAATACTCCCCAAAAATTGAGCTGTGCTTTAAACTAGTCATGTGATTGTACTAGGAAGGTTACTTTGAAAATGTAATAGGTTACAGATTACTAGTTGCCCTGTTAAAAAGTAATAAGTAATGTAGCAGTTTCAATTACTTACCAAGGTAATGAAACATTACTTTTAATTGCTCTTTGATTTCTTTGCTAAAAACGATTTAAACCGGGCAATAAAGCTGAAAAGTCCTAACATAAATTTAAACCAAGCAGCAAAAACCTCACAGCAGTACTCAACACGTATTACTGTCAAACCTTTATTACCTTCAGTAACATAATAACCTTCAGTTACATAATATTACTGTTGAAACATGTGACCTACTGAACAGGTACAAAGCAAAACCCTTTTCTGATTTCAAAAGAAAAATACTGTTGAATTTCCAACACTGAAAAGCTTTCTTGTCTGACAACATGACCACACAAACTTGGTGTTGTCAGCTGGTTGCAGTCAGGCTGCTCAGAGCAATGTGTGTTGATTTGACTGACAGATGAGATGCGGTGCAAAGTCAAACTAGAGAACCAGTCAAAAGCAATGTTCAAAATTTTAGACCCACTGCCAAATGAACAGAGCCTATCTAGACATAGAGACAGCTCCTTGTTAGCCACTTACCCCAGCAGTTTTGCTGATCCATGTCATACGTAAATACGATCAAAGGAATGCATTCCTGAAAGGCAAAAAGATGAAGATGTAAAACTTATATGTTAAGCTTTTAACCAAAAAGAATATATTCAGATGTAACCCCTTTGTATTCACCAACATTTTCATTAGTAACTGAAATTTAATTACATATTTTTTCTCAGTTACCATAACTGATTAGTTACCTTTATTTTGTAACTGAATTAAAGTAACTAGTTACATGTAACTACTTACTCCCCAACACTGATTGTTGAAACTCTGTATTGTTTTAGAAAGGAGATCTCAAATATCATGAAGAGCTCTTACCTTCGAGGTCTCAACATGGCCTCCTTCTTCTGCGCCAGCAAGCTCATCCTCTTCATCACCTTCACCCTTTATGTCCTTCTGGGGAATACCCTCTCAGCCAGCCGTGTGTTTGTGACAGTGTCGCTGTACACCGCTGTACAACTCACCGTCACGCTCTTCTTCCCCAGCGCCATTGAGAAGCTGTTTGAAAGCTGTGTCAGCGTCCGCAGGATTGAGGTACCATGTGTTATAATGATGTGTTTTCACTACTCAGCACTTTTTAAGATTGACACAGTTGTCAACAACCAAAAAGACAGTTACACATTTTTAGTCAGTGGTTTTTATAAAACTTATTTTTCAGTAGTATCCGTAGCAGTCAAAAGTTATTTAGTCCTGCCAGTCCTGCCACCATCTCCTTTTTTTTTAAATCTCCCATAAAGATAAGATTAGGAATATAGCTGAAAAACAAACTTAGAAAAAATCAACTGGACTAGATTTCAACCGACAAGGGATGGTGGAGTAAGACACAACTTCTCATCCATCTACAATCCTGTTTTGAGATTTCTGCCCAAACATGCCCACCAGGACAATAGGCGTCGGTCGACAGGGGAGGATTCAAAGACAAGTAATGACTCTCACCGATACTGGGCTATAACGACCCAGTCGTTGGGGGACATTGTTGGCCCTCAAAGGACTGAAACACCACTGAGGGGGATAAATATCTCTGGCTCAACACCAGTCAGTCAGAACTGATGAAGCCTCTTGGATGAGAGGTGAAACGTCTTCGACCTAGAAATCTAGTCCAGTTGATTTTTTCTAAGTTTGTTTTTCAGCTATATTCCTAATCTTATCTTTATGGGAGATTAAAAAAAAAAGGAGATGGTGGCAGGACTGGCCTTTTACTATGACCTGGATGACTGAGAATCTGCACAGACAGATTAGGAATATAATTTTTAACTCACTAAACTGGCAGTTGTGAAACATTACTGAATGATTTACCTGGCCATTTAAAAATGTACGTTGATAACATGTAAATGTACCATCCTCTTTGTGGAGAAAATAGTAAAAGCAATTTCCATGTTATGACTGTTTTTGTGTAACCTTAGAAGTTGGTTTTCATCCAGTTTTATTTTTTTATTGTCAAGGAGTTCTTGGTGTTGGATGACATCACAAAAGGCAGCACTGTACTGTCTCAGCATCAGAAAGATGCCGGTGTAGAGATCCAGGACCTGGTCTGCTACTGGGACAAGGTCGGATACCTCGTTCTCACTGGTATACATTTTAGGAATACCCCAAGCCAGTCTGATAGATTAAGCTAATGTACAAATTTTCTGTAACCTTTTACCACCCACTGTTTTGCTTGTGTAACACTGGCACCATCCAGAACTTCTTAGAAATATGTCATAAAAGTAAATTATTGAATACTTCAAATAAAACATGGATGTTGTCATCCAACCAGGTTTCAGTTATATTCGCCACACAGCTGTCCTGCCTCCGTGAGACAATCCGTAGCCGAATCTCGTCCATTTTGTTGGTTAGTGACCTGGCGTTTGTGAGGAAGAGACTAGGGAGCGCCGGCCTGTGTGGGTTAGCATGTAGCCTAGCACGCAGGCCGCTTCTCTTGCCCCTCTTTTGTTTACGGTGTCGCCTCCATCTCCTTGGCCACAAAGGGGGGATGGTGAGAGCCATAGTGGTCCGGTGTAGCTCTGGGGGAATAAGGTCCGGCTTCGTGGGTGCGCAAAGTTTGTATTGTTTCCCTATTGTAAGTAGTTCAGCTCTTCCATACTGGGTGGTAGCTTCAGAAAACTGTAGTGACAACAAAAACACGAACAAAGATACGAACAGAGAAACGAAAAGCCGAGAGCCCCGAGCCGTTGCGTACCTACGCGCCGCCATCTTGGACTAAAAGCACTTGTAGGCCTCACTAGAAGACTGTTGACCTTACTCTGTGTGGCCTGCCTCCTTTTCATTTGTCCCATTCCATTTCTTTTGTTTCTTAGATTAGATTCAACATTCTTGTCATTGTGCAGAGTACATGTAAAAACCAATGCAGTTAACATCTGTCCAGAAGTGCGAAAAAGTCATGGCATATTTCTAAATAATTGTGCAGTGCAATACTGCATTGTGAACAGGTTGAATAAGTGCAGGGTTCTGTGCGGTGTGGCTGTTAACCCATGTGTTAACCCATTTTTTAAAAAAGAGCTCCAAAGGCCAAGAACTTTTCACAGGCACTGAAGGAAGAAGGGGTCAGCTACACATGCACATGCAATCTCTGCTCTGTGTGTGCACCTTGATGTTATGTGTAGTGCAAGAAGACCGTGGAGTAGTGTAAACAGAGCAGACAAGGAATCAGACAAGAAAAAGCAGGAAATGTTTGAGTATTTTTTGTCCTTCAAACATGACAAAACTGTGATTAATGTTTGGTTTTTCTCTCACACACACCTTCAAATTCAAAAAAGAAAATATAGTGAAAACACTGACATTCAATTCCCATACTTTCATATGAAATTTTTAGAAAAAATATTGTCTTATTTGCGCAGTATGATAATCTAGGTACAAATTCACAGCAGAACTAACAACTAAAACTAAAAAAATCTCCCATGGGCAAGTGATAGTCATTGGCATCTGTGCAAAAACCTCACACATGTTGGATCCTTTATTTCTTTGTCTACATGCCCTTTTTTTCTGGTAAAATCCTGTAACTGCACAGCATTGCAAACAGTGAAAAGCTTTCAAAAAAGAATATTACAGAAGTCAGCGAACCATTCTGCAACTTCCACTCATAAACATATATTAACTCACAATGGCTATTAAGCACAAATGAGTGTGTGTGTGAGTCACTGTCATGGTGGACAGTAATACCATCAGAGGTGGAACAAAGTGAGATTCTAAGTTTACACATAAGATCTCTGCTTAAGAGATTGACAGGACAATTTGAAGAGAGCAGAAAACAATGTTTACTGTAAATGATCTTCCCTCAGAGAGGGAGCAGTTCCTGAATCAACAAGGAATGTAACTAGCTGTCCCTGAATAAAGAATATGAACTGAGGAAATTGTTCATATGCTTCAGAGTCATATTTGGCATAGGTACCCTGAGGCTCAAATTTGCTCTCTTAATACATTAATGGTGTGTTGTATAAGCATGAGTATGAGCAAGCTGTTCTTCATTGCGGTGTGCAGTGTGTGTGTTATCACTCATCTGTAGGCACAGTGGCAGTCTCATCCGCTGTCCCACCTCCCCCTTCGCCACCACCAACCTGGTTTCAGTCAGATATCATTGGGCACTGGTCAACGTCCACGACCACTTCCCCCTCCCTGAAAGTCTCTCATGTTGTTCCTGGACGGCTTGGTACATGGTCATGGCTGCCATGTGTAGCTCCTTTCCAGCCTTATCTTCTTTGGCCCGCTGTTTCTGCTGCAGCTGATCTTGGGCATGACTGGCATGACGTCGTAGTTCACTCAGATGGGCGTCTGTGTAGTCGACACAGGATGTCTTAGCTGCTACTGCAATTTCAGGTCTCAGTCCATTCAGAAAGCAGTTACTAAGATGTGTTTCCCACACACCAGGAGCATTGCCCAAATCAGCTGGTTGTTCCAGGCCACTATGAATGCTAAATAGCTCTGTAAGGCGGTGTAAATACTCCTCTGTCGATTCTCCCTCCTGTTTGCAAGATGCAATTTTACTCCTGTCCACTTTAGTGGGAAACTGGTCATGGGCTGTAATAGCGTCTCTGTATTGGGCGTTATCAGCGTGATTCCATTCAATGTTGCAGACACACAGGTCATTTGCTGGAAAACGACGAGTCACATGCTGGAGATCGACAGGTTTCATTTTTGTTGCTAAGAAGTGTTTCAGTTCAGTCATGGTGAGACGAAATTCAGTGCAGAAAATGGAGAGCTGTTCTGCAAATTTCTGTCCAGATGCTGTTGGGTCTGGAAGATGCTGTGCTGCAGCAGTAATATCAGCAGTGGTCCATGTTCGAAACACAAGGATGGGACCAGTAGGGCCAGACAGTTCAACCATGGGTAATAATAGTTCAGCATTGGAAGATGAGCCAGCGGCTGCACTCATGCCCTATGCAGCACCACTGCACGGTGTGCCTAAGTCCCAGAGAGACCGGTGGGTCGTATGGTCGGGGTTTGACGTCAGGTCTGTCCTGAAGTTGGTGTGTGACTGTCAGGGCCGCTGCCTCTCTTTTTCTTTCTTTATTTCTTTTCGCAAGATCGGCACCTCAGCTGTATCGCATCCTGTAATTAGCAACTATTGGTTTTCTGTGCACAGCTGAGGTGCGTGACAGGGATTGTTTCCCTGCCTTATTTAAGTCTCTGGCAGACGCTCCGTCACTGCCGGAGCATTAACTAAGAACATGTTTATTGCACACGATGAAGACGTGTTGTAAGTTAGAAACGCTGACAGTGACTGTGCGTTCCTTTTCTGTCGTCACGTTATAGTTATATGTGCTAGTTACCTGTACTGCTCCCAACGCTGACAGTGACTGTGCGTTGGTTTTCGGTTGTTTGCTTCTTTTGTTCCTTTTTATTTTTTAGCCTTAACCATTACCACTTTATTTCGTCTGCCATCGATTCACCTGTTCATCCTGGTTTCTTCAACCGTCTCCACTCTACCCCGGACTGTATAAGTACTTGGACAATATTACGTTATCTGGTGTTACTTTGTGTTTTCCCATTAAACCTACTTTTTTACTAGCACCTGGGTCAGCATACTTGAGTCCTGCCTCAGTTCTCCCTCACCCTCCTGGTGAGGGGGACTAAAACATAACAGTGACAGACGGTCCGGGCCATGGTGGGGCAGTTGGTGGGCAGGCGTCAGGGTGAGGGTCCAGCTTCAGAGCCATACACTGCAAATACAGAGAACTGAGCGGCAGATTACTGTTTTCTTTTTTACTAACAAGACATTCTTTAGTCTTTCCTGATTTTGACATTTCCTTTAACATTCTCTTTCTTTCCCTTCTTTCTGCTTCATTCCTCCACATGCTCGAACACATTCTATGATTTTCTACATCTTTAAGTTCTTTCGGTGATTTTTTCTTATATAATGCCTCCTTTTTTCCCTTTAATTTATTTTCAAGTTCCTCAATTTTCTTTTACACTTAAAGAACCCCCATGGGGAAAACCAAATTCACGTGTCCATATGGCCACGCTTTGAACACTTTTGTCACCGTACTTTCTCCTCATTATGTCAATGATTGAACACTCCGGAGGATCATCCTTACTCGTCTTGTTCCCATTGTCCTAGATGGGAGCTGTGCACAACTATAATTACCAGCACAAAACGGATGTCTCCGTTAGGGTTCAGTCACTTATACCTTTTCTTGTGACCAGAACAGGACCTCAGTGTCTTCGCCTTAAACTCAGAATTGAGAACACCTACCTCATTGCCACTTTTTAGTGGCACCTACCCTCAGTATCACGGTTAAGTGACACCTACACTCAGTACTTTTATATAAGTACCTACCTCAGTATTCCCTC